CCAATTGTTCTCACTAAAATTGAAACTTTAAAATGCTAACAACTTTGAGTCACTTGTAAGTTAATGTTATAATTATCTAACTAGGGCACCAACTCTCCTTAATTACTCACACTAAAATTGTAACTTTGTAAACGATAAAGACTTTCTTTGAGTCATTTAGCTTCTTAACGTAAAAAGACTACTTGTAAGTTAACTTTATAATATTTAACTTGGGCTCCACAGCTCTCCGATTGTTCTCACTAAAATTGAAACTTTAAAATGCGAACAACTTTGAGTCATTTAGCTTCTAAATGTTAAAAGACCACTTGTAAGTTAATGTTATAATATCTAACTAGGGCTCCAACTCTCCTTAATGACTCACGCTAAAATTGTAACTTTGTAAACGATAAAGACTTTCTTTGAGTCATTTAGCTTCTTAACGTAAAAAGACTACTTGTAAGTTAATAATATTATCTGTATATCTATTAAAGCATCACAACTCCTTAATTGCTAGCACTAAAATCGTAACTTCTTAAATGATAACAACTTCTTTTGAATCATTTGAACCTTAAAATATGAAATGTATTATAAAATGTGAACATAGAATACAAACATAGAATACAAACCAAGTATAGAAAAGGTAAAATGATTAACACTATCAAAAATAATGACTAAATCAATTTAACCAACATCACTTAGACAAGTGAAAAAAATTTATAGCTAGACTCAAGAAAGTAGAGAAGTTAGCATCATCGAAAATATTTATTCCAAATTATACAAATTCACACAATCACAAAATCAATATTTTTCAAAAAAAACTATAAAACTCAGAAATTATTACACTATGTATTACATACACTAATTAATATCACATACAATTACAGGGAACAATTTAAAAGCAATTAAAAAATTTCTGTGAATATGAAAAAGAACAAAGTGATATCGATCGTAATTATTCGAACGAATTTTGACTATTAAATTTATTAAATTTAATTATGAAAAGAGAAGGTTTTGAACCATTAATATTAAATTGTACTAAGAGAATTATTTATCATTAAATTAAATTTTTCAACTTTAACATAGTATTTTAAATTATAGAAAAATTAATTAATTAAATTATATGTAAATTATAGAACAATATGACTATTAAATTTAAAAAGAAGATTCAATATCAAAACTATTTGTTTACAAATAAGAGGCTATCATCAATTTACAAGAAAGAAATGTAATTACAATTTATCATAATAATAAAGCATAATAATTTCAATTTTTATAATTTATACTACAGATTTAATAATTTTATGCATGGTTAATAGTAGTAAGTTTGAGAGTTAATTCTTATCAGGGGAATTTAATTTACAAGGAGGAAAAGTCATAGAGATTTGAAAATTTTATGTATAATTAATTAAGAGGGTAAAAACTTTCTATGTATTAAAATATAAAGTGTTTCATATTAAATTACTTTCTATATGCATTGTTTCAATTTCTTACATTTAATAATGGAATCTAAGAAAATAATGATTTTTTTACATTTTTTTCTCTGAAAAAATGTAAATGAAATAGTTTAAAAAAGGGAGAAATTTTTTTTTTTAATTAAGTCTTCATAATGCCTTAGTTAATTCGACGGAAAGCTTCCATTGCTCACATTCTGATAAAAGATAAAAGTTCAACTGATAAAAAATAAATAAGCTTCATTATTTGATTCTACTGACATTTTATTTGAGAACTTTTGTTCCTTCTAGATATCTGAAAGGACACTAAGTTACAAAACAAATAGAATTCGTATGTGTCAAGGTTCAGGACAAAGTTCACTCGACCGACAGAAAACTCGTGTCCGTTATCCACTGAAGCGAGGAATTTTTCCCTTTTCCACGGACTCTTTAATAGCCTTAATCACTTATGTTAGCATTTGTAGATATAAATTCAAATAATATAAATATGTTTTGAACTTTTGACTGACTAAAGTTTAAAATTAACATGTTTCTATTTTGAAATTCAACTTTAAAAACGAATACAGTTAGAAAAAAAACGTTTGTTTCTAATGACAACATCTTCAGAGATTTGAATTAAACGTCTCTGAAATCAAGCTTATATTCTTGAATCCATAAAATAAATGCGAGAGTGCATAATCCAAAAATTTATTATACGATTTATTTTTTAGTTCTGAAACTTCTTGTTATACTTCTTTTTAACTTATTATCATTTTTGTTTTTATTATTTATGAGTTTTTTGTCCCACTTGAATTGTCCGAAACAATTTTTTTTTACAGACAAAATGTGGTTTAAAAAGAAAACAGTATACTTGTCATTATTTAAAACTCGTGTATCCAAGGATATATCGAGAAATTGGCATCATTTATATCAGATATTAATAGCCACATTTTCTTAATGTTTCAACAATATATCAATATATCACGACTTTTCAAAACAGGGGGTATACTTCAACACCAGTATTAATGTCGGACATTCATTAACCCTTTCACGCAGAATGTCACAAATACGTGCCAGCATAAAACCGTATCAACCCAGGGCTTAGAATAGAAGGGCTAGTTCACTCCGCTCTTACAGCTGAAGCTACGATTTCCCTCCTCATGACGTCACTGTGTCCACAGATCTCGGAGATCGCAAGCGAAGATTATGATAACTTTGCATCTTTCTCTTTGTAAAAATAAGTTAGACTTTTTCTGGTTATTAGCCTTCAAACTTTACGTAATTAACACATTATTTCCGTTCATAAACATAGTTCAGAAAAACCTCCTTGGCCATTATCTTAAAAAAAATACCATTTTAAACTTATAAAAATATTTTACTAGTTGGCGAAAATGACACTATAAATACTTTATTTTAAAAAGTTTAGTTTTAACTTTAATTATTAAAACGAATGAAAGCAAATATCGATACATTTTTATCTACATATTCTTTTATAACAATAAGTTGAGTTAATTTTAGAATCCCTGATTTTAAAATATGCCATTAATTTTTTCATACTTAATCATTAGGAAACATCAACCTTAAACGCTAATTACTGAAACAAAATAATAATTTAGGCTCATAATGACATTAAAAATTTTACAATTGCTTATAGATATTTAAATTTACGATGATGTAATTTATAGATATTTAAATTTAAGAGAATATAATTTTAAAAAAAAATCATAAATATTTAGAATAACTACATTAAAAGTATGTTATGAAATTAAGAGAATTTCAACTATATACTATATATTTTGTTTATACATTTTATTTACAATTAAATTTTCTTTGACTTTATAAATTTTTTAATTTTTTTGACCTACCTTTCTTTTTAAAGTAACGAGGCGGTTTCTATTTAGATATTGAATTTTTATAAAAGTTCTTAACGATAGAAAAAACGTATTGCTGTTTTATATTAACTGTGTCATTTTGGAATCCATTCTTTACATAGTTGTTCATTTACGTTAGGGAACACGCGGAAAATTATATTTTTTCCTTTTGTTTTTCTATCAGAAATTTTGCAAGTTGCAATCGCGCAAACTGGCATTTCGATAATAGTTTTAAATGTTTGTAAATTCACTGCAAAAACTGAGGAAAGTCATTACAGAAAAAAAACAAATGTCTTAAAATTAGTCACAAAAAGAAATGTTTCATTATTAGTTAGAGCTATTAAGGCCGAACTTTCTTGAAGTAAACGTGCGAGCTTTGCGCCAAAGTGACGTCACTAGAGAAAATCGGAGGATTGGCGCGGCGAGAGTTTCTACAAAGGAGTGAACCAGCCCTTCTATTCTCTTTAGCCCTGGTATCAACCAGGGTAAAAAGATAAAACTGGTAATCAAAGTAATTCTTTAGCAGTTCATTTGTGGGCGTAGTTATAATTGTTTAATTTATTTAATTCGCTATTACTTTGTTCAAAATAAAACTAGTTATACTTCGAATTAACATTGATTATATATATGATTAAACTAACAATAATTAAAATAAAAGCAAAGTAAGTCTGTCAAATCAGAAACGACTACATTTAAGTTACCGTTTTTTATTTAATGACATCCTGATTCTGATTTTGTACGAATGCTTTTCTGAATCACCCGTCCCCAAGGGGTTAATAGGAGTTTATGGACGCATTATAAACAATGACATGAATGTGAATAACTCTATATCAATTTAACCCTTTCAAACACTATTTTTACTATGTTATAAACAGTTAATTTTGCATTTACTACTTAACGGTTAGCGTAATAGTATTTGTTAAAGCCTTCTTACTTGTGAGTAATGGTATATCATATTCAGAGAGAATTTTGTTAAATTAAAAATTTTCTTTCGTTTTCTTTTTACTTTTAGAAATTTTTGTATTTGCTTTTTTACCCCTGACATACCTGAAATTTACTATTTTGTAATCAAAACTTAAGAGTTAATTTTAACACCAGGATACAGAAAGCAGTCATTTTGTTTGTTATCACTTTAGAAAAATTTATTTTTACAGCTAACTAAGTTGGTACCTGCTACTTCAGAAGAAAAAAACTTTGAAATCACATGGTTGGGCAAAATCACGTGGTTGTGGTCTTGCCCACGTTCATGGTTCACGCTGCATGACGCGTTAACGTTGCACCGATTATTGGGATACCTGCGAGTGACGTAGTGTGAGTAACTCGATCAATGTTACCAACATTAGTAACAGTTCTTTCTATTCTATTTAGAGTAAGCCAAGCCCGCCAAGTATCAATTCTCTTAAATGATGCATTCTATACTCTTACACAAAGATTCTTTCACAAAGATTTTAAATTTTTCGCCATGTATTTATCACTTAATACAAAGACGATCATGAATGCGTGTAGAACATAAACAAACTAATTTTGCATCGAAATTGACACAACACTGTATTTTGTTAACTTTGCGTTAATTAACATTCTAACTTATATTGAGAAACTTAGCTCAACTTTAACAAGCCACTTTGCTTATGAACGATCTGCTGGTGCTGACGTTATAGNACGAATTATTTGGAAATAGTGGTGAATAAAAATCAACTAAATTAAATTTATTAAACCAAGAATTACAATTAATAAATTACCAGTTGAAAATATTTATTCGCTGCTCGGAGAAAGCTGGCATCTCTGTGTCTATAAATAAAAACTATTTTTGTGTGTTCTATATCGCATTAATTTCTTCAACCCATTTTAGCAACGATAATAATATGAAAAAAATTAAAAATTTACTCAAATTATGTGTTTCTAATAACCTTGGCTTCGCTGGTCACCGGTAACCCCGTGGCTCTACAAACAAACTCAGTGCCGGTCACCGGTGACTGTTAACTCAACGTGTTAACTTGGAGGAATCCATCCACCAAAGACTTTATCGAGTTCTTTGGCGCACGCCAAAGTCAGAGCATCATTGTTTTTCCTGGCAATTATCTGCATTCCATGTGGCAAGCCAGCATGATTTAGTCCAAGTGGACATTGTGTTACTGGAAATCCAAGAAAGTTGAACCCTCCTACGTATGCTGCGTTTAAGAAGTCTGGTACCATCGCATAATGGCGAGGTGCTGAGAAAGGAAGAGTAGGACAGAAGAAGACAGAGTTTTCATCAAGTATGCTCTCAAAATCTTCTTCTAATCTGTGTAGTAAATTCTTATATAAATGAATTTTATCCCTGTTAGAAAAATATTCTCCAAAACCTGACAAAGCTATGGTTCCTAGCGAAAATTTTGTTCTACCAAAAGCAAATTTTACTAATTCTAGTATTCCATTCATACTGTTGATTTTTCCCTGAGAAATATGCTGTATGAGATTGGGAACATCAGAAAATAGGAGAGGAAGAAATAATGCACTAGTCAGCTTAAGCAACTTTACGTTCACTTCTTCTGCTGCCACGCCATGCTCAGTGAAGAAATGATCAATAGCCTGGAGAAAAAAAAATTTTATTTGAACTTACGTTTCGAAACAAAATCATAAATTTTCTGTTATGTTATATCAGGGTCACCACAAACGGCTAAAAATGCAAAAAGTGGTGACAAATAAAATTCTAAATTTTATTAAAAGAGATTAAAATTAGAAATTTTTCATTGCTTAATTTTTCAGTTCATTATTGAAAGGGAATGTTCGTTCGTTCGTTCGTTCGTTGTTGTGGAACTGGGCGCCTGAGGCCTTACGGCCTTTTTCCCATTCATCTTGAAGTTAAACTTAGAAACATACGTGACAAAATTAAAGTTTGGGGAGCAAATGGAGTTCTTGAGAAAAGAAAAATGGCACTTTTCCATTATTAGGCAATGACAAAATTACAAGTAATAAAAATGTACATGAAAAAGGTAAAATTAAAGTTCGATGGGAAGATGAACACTAATGAATATTTACAGTTTGGAAATACATATAAAAGGGGGGCGAGTGAAAGGATTGTGAGGATGAAAGGGAATGAAGCGATAGGTTTTGCTTTAAATATGAAAAATTTAAAAAAAGAAGTCATAGTGATAGTTAACGTTTAAATAATTAAAGAGATAATAAATAAATAAAGTTAATTGAGTTTCAACCACTTTTTATATTTTTAATTGCTTGTGGTATCCCTGTAATGTGCATACCCTCCAACTACTAAGAAATTTCCGAAGATGTTTTTCTAGTGCCAGCAAAAGTAATGCATTAATATTTTAATAATTTCAAAATAATAGAATTAACTCTACCACTGCATATAAATGTTTAAAACAGATGTCTAAAAGGTCAAGCTGACTACAGTAGGGACCCAACAAGTGACGAAAAACGTAAAAAGTGGCATGGAACTTAATTCATTTCCATTTATTAATTATCTCTTTAATAAGTCCTTCATAATTGCCATTATGACTTATGTTTGAGTCGTGAAGGCTTAGGGGATAGAGATTTTTCTTTCATTTAGGTGAACTGGGTTCGAATAATAGCGATTGCTGGTAGATACAAATTCGTCTTCCAACTTGCAACGACCACAGTGCTTACGCAAAATATCCTCAGTGGTAGACAAATCTTGAATTAGAGTCCCCTTGCCGTCAGGCTAATCGTGAGAGGCTTTCGAAGTTTTCCTCTCCATGTAATGCAATTGTGGGTTAGTTCTATCAAAAAAGTTCTCCACGAAGACAAATTTCATAATGCTTGGTACAGGAATTCCCTTGTCTTCTGGATTGGGTTAAAAATTACCAGGTTACGGGAGTTGAACATTAGTAATCGTAATCAAGAAATTGAGTCGGATGTTCAACGACGGTTATAAATATGAAAATTATAAATGTGATTGTATGATTGAAATATATTAGTAATTATTCGTTAAAAAAAACTTCTTCACCTTTAATTGTAAACTGAAAAACACGCTATACTGTTGCTAATTATAATAAACTTTTAAACTTTATTCGTCACTACATTTTGAACTTTTAGTTGCCCGGGGCTACCGATTACAGGTCTGTTATGTGCTAGTAGACCTGAATATTTAAATTGTAAATAGTCACTTTTCCCTCAAACCCTATGAGTCGGTGACGGATATCGATATTATTCATTATTCTTATCATTTGATAACCACTTTTTGAAAAATCTTTTATTTTTTCTGTTTGGATAAAATTATACTTTTTTAAAAGAAAATACATAAATAATATTCAGCTAGACGAAGCTGATTCAACTTTTTTTTTTTCGTATTCCAGTTTAGGCAGCGGGGATGCGATTGCTCCTGTTTTTCAGTGGCGCCATCTATGGCCAGGAATTCAAGTTCTGCCACGCCATTCACACAACCACAACCCATTTATAGAGCGGATCACATTCACACACAAAGGAGAAAGGACATAGAATACACAGAGAGAGAAAGAAACTTCCGTGCCTTGCTCGGGATTCGGACTCAGGATCTTTCTGATGCAAGGACAGTTTCCTGCCCCCTACACAGGCTGGTCGGCGTTTAACGCATTGACTTCATTTAAACATATTTAGGGAAGAGAAATAAACCTTCCACATGAATCTTTCTATGACAAATTGATCGATTGTGAAAAATCAAATATTTGGATGGAGACATTGGATATTTTAATGAAAATTCTGCTTCCCAGAGTATTTTTGCATTGATGTACTTTTTTTCTTAAACTATTAAAGAAACTAGAAGAGAGAATGACACGTTTTTTTTTTTAAATTTAAGTAACTAATTTTTTTTTTTTTTTTCGAATCGACACGGGGCTTGTGGCGAGTGGTAATTTTTAGGTTCATGTTCCAAAGCTAGATAAAGGTTTTATCAAATTTCCTTTTGCTTTAAGAACTTCTACTTTAGTTCACTGCCTCCAGAAATGAAATTTTGTATCTCAAATGTCGGAGTGTATGAATGTGATAAAATAACTTAGAAAATTAGATGATTTTTTTGTTGTCGTATGCAACTTATCAATACTGATAAGAAGCTTTATTTTAAAAAGAAAAAAAACTTAACTTTTAAAAAAAAAAAAATTTCGATAATGGTACTCCTTAGATAATTATAGGAACTTGAAAAGACTCTGAATAATTAATTAAGTGAAAAAGTAATTTTAAGTTTCGAATTCATATTCCTCAAAAAATTTGCAGTGAACAAAGCAATAATTAAAAAGAATTTACAGTGCTGTTTGTTGTTTTCTTATGCATCAGGTCAAGACTAACAAGCCTATTTTAAAGGGGTTCTCTTCTTGTTTTTCAGTGGCGCCATCTATGATCAAGAATTCGACTTCTGTCACACACACGTCATAGCCCATTTTACAGGAAGGACACATGCAAACACCATCCATCGATCTGCTGACAGTAATTTTTACCTGTAGATGAATTTTGGCGATCAACCTCCAATCTAGTACCCCCAGATGTATTGATTTGTAAAGGGAACTTGAAGGACTTTGTGACAACGACAGATTTAGCGTGCACCAGTCACCATTTTGTACATGGGGTGTATGAAGCTGGCGATGATCGAACGCACGACCCCACGCCCTTCCAATCAGACTACCCTGGGCTAAAAAGTTGAAAGACGCTTATGGAACATGGTCAAATGCATTATTATGAATAAAAATATAATTTTTATGAATATTTGTTACCTTTCATTCCGTTTTAATAAAATATTTTTGGTATTAAAAAAGATCAGTGTAAAAAAGCATATCTCAAAATTACTCATAGTACAGTATTATTTTCTAACTATTTATTTATCAATCATATTAAATTATAATGATATAAAGCATCTGGAATAATTAATAAAGGCATTCATGCAAGCTTCAAGTATCAAAAACCATTTTATTCTTTATTATAGAAGAGGCAGGCAATTAAAGGGAGGGGGGGAAATATGATAAATATTTAAAAAAATAAGATAAATATTAAAAAATTCTTATTTTTTCATGACATATTTACTCAACTAATTTGCACTTGTAAAAAGTAAAGTAATTGTTTTAGAGTAGTAAAATAGCAATTAAAATGGCTTTGATAATGGGGACTCAAAATACTCAAGAACCAGCTAGTTCTTCAAGAAGTTAAGAGGCATTTTGAGGAAAATAAAATAATAGTTATGTATATTTGTTTCCATTTAATTAAAATTAAAAGTCAATTTTTTGAAAAATAATTTACATGTTTTAAGCATATTTGAAGTTTAAATTTCAAATATATGTATTTTTTTTAAAATCTGGTTTTTAAATATTTTCATCCGGAAGCACCAAATTAATCTTCACTCGATTTCTGTCATTTCTTATGTGCTTATTCACAAAGCAATAAATTTGTTTTAATCCTTTCCTCTACTTTTTAACAATATAAGAAAGCAAGCAAGGAAATAATTTAAGATTACAATTTTTTATCGTTTTAAGCAAAGCTAGTATATCAAAAAGAATTTTTATGAACAAAAACAACATTCCATAGGAGCCAAATTTAATTTTTACATTTAAATTGGTAGTACAATTAATGTTTTCTTATTATTTCTTGGTCTTTCAAATTTTATTAAAATGATTTTGATCAAAACCACATATAAATGGATTAATATTTGTAAATTTGTACGATAATTATACGACATCATTTTTGAAATCTGAAGATTTTTCTGCATATAATTGTAAATCAATTTTTATTTCATTACCACTCTAGGAAATCATCCTCAAAAGGATAAAAATTGGCAAATATGCTATTCATTTTGGTATATAATAAATTTGACTGTCATAGTATATAATAGAAAACAATATAAATAGAAAGGAGAACCTCCTCGTAAATAAAATACATTAGAAGGCAGCACTCATGCATTTTAACACTAGGTTTACGGGACGCGTCATTTTGACGCAATTCCAGTTTCGTAAGGGAAATTACAAAACCCGTTTGAATTTTTATTTTATCTCTTGTAATGACTTTTATCCATTGATCGAGGTAAGTATATATTGAAGTCTATTTTCTTCAAAAGCGTTGAAATATTGAAATTCTCTTTATGGTATACACTTATCTCTACGTATATGCGTCAATCTGACGCGATCGTAATTTAGACAAAATTTTGAGTAAACATGAAAGCATTACATCAATAATAAATAAGAATGTACGGACAATACTCCGATCGGAAACTACCGTTATCCGATATCGTTATCTCAAATGAAACAAGCGATAAACAACTGTTGTCGATAAGCAATAAAAGAAATAACAAACGCAGAATGTCAGTAAATAACCACTAAGTAAACTTAGCAAATATAAATTGGCGAATTATATAATCCTACAAATTATTTAGAAATAGTGGTGGTTAAAAATCTACTAAATTTAATTTAATTTATTAAATATGTATTCGTATATATATGTATTCGTTCATGTGTCAAATTGACGTGTGTTCGTAGAGATAGGTATATAAGAAACGTCCGTAAACCTAGTGATGTATTCGTTCATGCGTCACATTGAAAGAAACGTCCGTAAGCAAAGCGATGTATTCGTTCATGCGTCAAATTGACGCGTGTTCGTAGAGATAGGTATATAAGAAACGTCCGTAAACCTGGTGTGCAGAAAAAATACATGAAAGATGATTATCATAATAATCTTAATCTCATATAATATCATAATGAATATTTTTATCATAATAATCTTTATATACTCACGGTTTTTATCGCAGTCACTATTTCGTTATCAACTCTCATAAGAACTGGGTCATCAATATTTATTTGATAAAAAATTTTCAACTTCTTAAAGTCAATCTATAGACAAAAATGAAACAGATAAAATTTTATGTTTGAATGAAGAGATATGTTGATTGTTTCATATTTCAGTTGAATTTTAAAAGTAGACAATTAAAAAAAAATGTCAGCAAATTTTAGATATCTGTATTCATTAAAAGAGATAATCATAAATACAAATAAGTATTAACGGCAGAGGTGACTGTGCTTCGGATAAAGTCCGGATTTCCGGATTTTTTGCTAACCGCGATCCGGAAGTTTCCTGAAATCCAAGGTACAGAAGTTTGAAGAAATCATCGATCACATTTATGTATAAAAATTCTTGTATATTTTGTTTAAAAATATTAGAACTAGAATTTATTCTCGGCATCTCCTTCATTTTTAAATATTTTTTTAGTAGTATAATGAATGTGATTAGAGCTAAAAGTAAACTTATAAGTAATTATTCATTTAAATTATACTGCATATAATTTATTTAGAATTTCATTTTTTTAAAATATCAAACATTTAAATTTATAAGACATTAATTTTTTTAAATGCCTCATTAATGATTTTACTCACATTTTCCGGATTTTTGAGTGGGGCTCACAATCACCCCTGTAACGGGAATACAATAAATTTGAATTAGGCGTGTGATATGTTGAATACAATAAATTTTAATAAGGAGTGTGATATGTTGTGTTGTGGAGTCATGTTGTGTATAAATGCATAGTTAGTTCTACATTATATTCATCACACGAAAACAAAATGTCCAGTTTGTACTGATAAACTTTCCACTTAGTGGTGGAGAGACTGTAAGCCTCAAAGAAATGAAGTATTCCTAAATTCACAATGGGGAACAAATGTTTTGCTGCATTTATACAAGTACTTGATCTGGGTATGGGATTTTAAATCTAAAATTAATTTTGTTCTAAAAGCTGCAGATTTTAAAAAATAAAAATAAAAAAATAATTTAAAAAAATGGACAACCCTGAATTACTTTTGATCTAATGTTCGCATCCTCACGCTTACGACTCAATCTTAATAGTTCGAAGGGGTAACTCAAATTAGGTAATTAATTAGTGTAGACGATATTTTAAGTTGCAACATCAGAATAAACATACCTTTTTTATCCCACCGATTCAGATTTCTGAAACCCAAAATATAGGGGGTAGCCGTAATCTCGAAAATATGGTCCCCATAGTTTGATATGAAAGCACTCAAATTTTGGACTCTTTAATGCTAATTTTACTTTTTGCGTATTTTCCCATATCTCGAGACATTTTTACGCGAATTGAAGAATGTTTGCACACAATTATAAAATGTATATATCCAAAGATAATTCCATATAAAAATAAATTTTAGTAAATATTTATAATTTTTTTATTAAATATTAGTAAAAAAATTTGAATAGTTTGAACAATTTTTCATATCATTTTAAAGTATTTAATTTTATATCGCAAAATACAAAATTTGAGCGAGATCGGTTGCATAGTTTCCGAGAAATCGAATTTTAAAGAAGTCGTATATTTAAAATTCCATTAATCAGAAACCATTTGTAGCATATCTACCACTACAAAAATACGATCCCAATTCACTAGTATATAACACATGTTAAGACATGGGGTACTTTTTTATAAATAAAGGTTGACATTATCGATACCTAGTAGCCCATTATTAATAATAAATGAATAAATAAACGTTTACACTAGAAATAGAATTTTTTGCCGATTTTTTCCTCAGCGAAAAACTAAAAAATTGCAGTGAATCCCTTCATGCCACATCTACACTTAAATAGTTTCAGTAGGATTAAAAACAATTACTTAAATTGAGGTTAGTAAAATTAATGAGTTTATGAGAAAAAAAATAATTTTCATTTTATGATCCTGGACAAAAACATTTTTTTTTTAATTTTATAAATTTCATGGTTTTTTTCACTATAAGTTCACACAGGGTTCCCGCGTGACAAGTAAATTTTAAAAAAGTGGTTACGGATATTAAACAAATGTCGCTAATTTAAATTTTGCTTAACTACCACTAAAAATTGTTTTCCGAAGAAAATATGTATGCATGAAAATCCCACCTTCTAAATCACTTTGATTCCTTTTTAGCTTATTAAAGCAAAGTGCTTGACGCATTCATAAATTGTTAATTTAAGTCGCTAATTTAAATTTTCATAACTACCACTAAAAATTGTTTTCCAAAGAAAATATGTATGCATGAAAATCCCGCTTACTCAAGCAAAGTGCTTGACACATTCATAAAAGCAACTCCACTGCCTGCTTACCTCAATGCTCAACCAAAACAGTGTTAGAATTCCAGATGAAAGGGATAGGGATCGCTTTGCGGCCCAGCCCTATTGAAAAAAATTCGCAAAACCAGTAACAATGATACCAGAACCAGTATAACTATACCAGAAATTTAAAACCTGGTATGAAACTATACTGGAAATTTTAAAACCTGGTAAGGCACCATACTGGAAATTTTAAAACCAGTATAGCCCCATACTGGAAAGTTTAAAACTAGTATGACGCCACACTAGAAATTTTAAAACCAGTATGTAACATACTGGAAATTTTTAAACCAGATTTCAAATATATAGGAGAGTGTGAAACCAGTATAATATCGTACTGGAAATTTTGATACCAGTTTTTAAACATGATGGAAATTTCGAAACCAGTTAGAATCCATGCTGGAAATTTTGAAGTAGTTTTAAAATATACTAACTTAAATTCTTCGAAAGTGCATATTTTTTCGGAAATCTAACAGGTTTCGACATTTTCAAACTAGCTTACTTCTTTAATAATTTATTATTTTATAAAGTCTTCGTTTTTTTTTCTCGATTATATACTAATTTCCAATAATTAATTTCTTAGATTTTTATAAGAACTCCTAACTAATATATTAAGAGTGGTGAAAACGTACACTTTCTGTGTGCATCAATTTTTTAAAAAAATTCATATTTAAAATTATTAAAATCATTTTATAATTTTGGAGCGAAGGGAGTTTTTCAGTTAGATTTTTGCACATTTTAATTATTTTAAAATCTAAGTCATCTAAGTAAAATCTAGTTATTGAAATTAAAGTAATTTTATAATAAAAGTAATTTTATTATAAAAGTAATTTTATAATAAAAGTAATTAAACAATAAAACTTGTTTTTATTCGTTTATTCTTTACTTACTTATTTATTTTTTTATTTACAAAAATTATTTTAATCAAAGTCATGATGAGAAAAGAATATTATTAATTGCATCACTTTAAATTTTATTATAAGCTGTTTTTAATTTTTATTTATTTCTTCTTGAATTTATACTAAACTAAATCTATGTTGCTCCTAATCGAAACAAATTTATCAATTCGCAAAATAAATTATTTAGTTTAGGTTTCAAACGACTTGGTAAAAAAAGAAATAAGCTTACATAAATTGAAAATTGAT